TCATGAGTCATGACTCACGAACACCCTCCTTGGTGGACAAAAATTACAATTCAATAACCGATTCATGAGGTTAAACAATGTAGAAGTTATTAAAAATGTATTGGTTGATGTCTTTGTCATCGTCTAAACTTAGAATGTAATAGATTTAAATGTCGTTCAGGGTGTGCATGTATTAATATCATTTTTTTGAATAAAAATAGCCGCATAGCCCTACAGTAGCGAAAATATTTTGCCCCGCTATACTAGGGAAAAAAATTTCACCCCGCTACACTAACAAACAAAATTCACCCCCTACACTAACGAAAAATTTCGCCCCCCTTGACTCAGAATCCTGGATCCGTCCCTGATTTGGGATGTGTTTACTTGGACAGTTTTCAATCTAAGACCAGAGTAAACTTGATTAGACTTAAATCGATCAAACCAGACATCGAAAGTTGTAAAATACACGTATACTAGATATTTTCTGGATCAGATCAAACCGAATTTAAACAAAATTAGACTAGACCACATAAAAAAGTTTTACTTCTTCGTAAAAAGTAAACTTTCTTTCGATGTCCAATAGTGTCAGGTAAATGATCAAAAGTGGATGGCGGGAAACTATTCAATGCAATAGTACACCTCACATGCTCAAAAGTGCAATTCGAGTGTTACAACTGACCATCTCATGAAATTAATGAATCTTAAGTATTTGTATTTTGCATTTCAAGGATTTTTTATTAGATCTAAACCCTACTGAACTACCCAATATAATTACTACGTATTTGTTAAAAAAAAACAGAGCGTGCTACTAATTCCTTAACCAACCCCAAAATGTTAAATCCCTAATCCTAAGGCCCTCCCACGCCGGAAAACTACAAAGCATTTGGGATATAAGTCATGATGACTCAAGAAGCCCAATGATGGATGCTAGATATTGTATCCGTGCGCACCAGAGGTCCAGTCCAGCACATAGGAGTTGTAGCATCCGATTTAGATGCTAGGATCGCTGTGGATTTCGATCCTAGCATCTAATTTACATATTTTTTTAAAGATCTAGAGCCCATTTGTTAAACCTTATTCCAGCTTATCAATCTTAATCGTAAACTTTGTTACCAAACAAATAACATTTGATTTTGCACGCGGAATTATGAAATTGTCATAATATGTAAGGTTGAAATTATTATTTTTCTAAATTAAACACCATTTTAACTCTTTACATACCATTTTTTCATTACTTTACAAATAAAAGATATACGGAGTTACTCCGTATAACTTTCATAGATTTTAACAAATTCAACCAATTCAATCAATTTCAGTGTTATATATAAACGCAGTCTAAATTTCATAGATAAAAAACGTTTTGGAGCAGACTCTGGACATATCTAGTGCTTGTCACATATTGAATTTATACAGATTGTGCAGGTTCGTGTGTAAAGCAACTCTGGACATATAAATCAATGTCTATATATAGATAATAGTTGTTTGAGTGAACAATTTACTTAATTTGCACATAGGTTTTTTGCACAAACAAGTGACTTAGGTGCTGTTATGTTCGTCTTATTCTTATTACTTATTGCTTATTCTTATTTTATTCAGATCAGATCAGATCAGATCAGAAAGATTCAGATCAGATCAGAAAGATTCAGATCAGATCAGATCAGATCAGAAAGATTCAGATCAGATCAGAAAGATTCAGATCAGATCAGAAAGATTCAGATCAGATCAGACCAGATCAGAAACATTCAGATCAGATCAGAAACATTCAGATCAGATCAGATCAGAAAAGTTTTCACTTTTATTATTATTATTATTATTATTATTATTATTATTATTATTATTATTATTATTATTATTATTATTATTATTATTATTATTATTATTATTATTATTATTATTATTATTATTATTATTATTATTATTATTATTATTATTATTATTATTATTATTATTATTATTATTATTATTATTATTATTATTATTATTATTATTATTATTATTATTATTATTATTATTATTATTATTATTATTATTATTATTATTATTATTATTATTATTATTATTATTATTATTATTATTATTATTATTATTATTATTATTATTATTATTATTATTATTATTATTATTATTATTATTATTATTATTATTATTATTATTATTATTATTATTATTATTATTATTATTATTATTATTATTATTATTATTATTATTATTATTATTATTATTATTATTATTATTATTATTATTATTATTATTATTATTATTATTATTATTATTATTATTATTATTATTATTATTATTATTATTATTATTATTATTATTATTATTATTATTATTATTATTATTATTATTATTATTATTATTATTATTATTATTATTATTATTATTATTATTATTATTATTATTATTATTATTATTATTATTATTATTATTATTATTATTATTATTATTATTATTATTATTATTATTATTATTATTATTATTATTATTATTATTATTATTATTATTATTATTATTATTATTATTATTATTATTATTATTATTATTATTATTATTATTATTATTATTATTATTATTATTATTATTATTATTATTATTATTATTATTATTATTATTATTATTATTATTATTATTATTATTATTATTATTATTATTATTATTATTATTATTATTATTATTATTATTATTATTATTATTATTATTATTATTATTATTATTATTATTATTATTATTATTATTATTATTATTATTATTATTATTATTATTATTATTATTATTATTATTATTATTATTATTATTATTATTATTATTATTATTATTATTATTATTATTATTATTATTATTATTATTATTATTATTATTATTATTATTATTATATTATTATCATTATTATTATTATTACAATATAATAATTATAATAATATGATTAATATTATTATAATATTATATTCTAATTCTTATAATTATAAGTATAATCAATTATAATTATTATAATTATAAGTATAATTAATTATAATTATAATTAATTATAATAATAATAATTATATTTATAATTACAATCATAATTACAATTATGATTATAAATATATTTATAATATAATATTATAATAATATAATACTTATTATAATAACAATAATCATATTATTATTATATTATTGTAATAATAATATTAATATAATAATATCTTTATAATAATATTAATTGTATTTATATTACTATTATTATATTATAATATTATAATTACTGTTAATATAATTATACTTATAATTATATTATAATTATAAATTATGATTATAATTATTATTTTTATTATAATTATTATTAATAATATTATTATTACTATTGTAATTATTTTACGGATTAATTATAATAATATTGATAACTATAGTTACAATTATAGAGATAAATATTGTAATTATAATTACAATTATAATTACATAATTAATTATAATTAAAAATATAATTACAATTATAATTGTATCTATATTTATAATTAGTGTAATAGGTATAACTTTTTTCATTTTAAATTTAATTTTAATTATTATTATTATTATTATTAGAGTTAATTATCAAAATAGGACTAAAAGTCATTCACTTTGCACAAATAGGACCAAAAAATAAACTATGTTTCCATAGGACTAATTATGTTTGTCTTGGACAAATATACCCTTATACCTATTGGAATGTTTTAATTCATAATAAAATAATAAAAAATAATGAAAATTCGTAAAATATACCAAAAAATTAATAAAAATATTTTAAATAATAATAAATTTAAAAAAAAAAATTTAAAAAAATAAAAAATTAAAAAAAATTAAAAAAATTAAAAAAAAATCAAAAAAATATTTTTTTTGTCACCGCCGCCTATACCGCACCAACACCACCACCTCTAGTCATTTGGGGAAAAAATGCCAAATTTATTATGAATTCCATATTTTTGGCATAATTCAGAATGATTTAAGATGGAAGAAAAAAAATGTTGGCATTCTCAAAGAGAAATATGCCATATTTTTGGCATTTTCCGAAAAAAATGGAAGTTTGTAGGAAATATGACATTTTTTTTTAACGGTCGGAGGTGGTGGTGCAGGGAGGCGGTACCACCACCTCCTGTCACCGGGGTAAAAAAATGCCAAAAAAATTATGAATGCCATATTTTTGGCAAAAGTCAAAAGGATTCAAGTTGGCAGAATGAAAATGTTGGCATTCTCATAGAGAAATATGCCATTTTTGTGGAATTTAAAAAAAAAAGTGGCATTTTTTACACCGATCGGAGGTGGTGGTTCAGGGAGGTACTACAGGCGGTGGGAAAGGTATCCATATTTTTTATAATTTTTTTTATGGAGTTTTACTATTTTTTTATTAATTTTCAAAAAAAAAAAAATTAAAATTTTTTTTTTCTTATTTTTTATTTTATAAAAATTTTATCAATTTTTTTTATTATTTTTCTACGAATTATTGAAATTTTTTCGAATTTATTATGAATTAAACATTTAATTATGACTTTTAGCTATCTTTTACTAATATTTAAAGGAGGGGTAAGAATGGAAGGAAGAAATGAGTATGTTTCCAATAGGACCACTATTGTCCTATTTTGGAAAAAAAACATAGCAAGTCCTATTTTGAGTTTTTGCCATAGTTTTAGTCCTATTTGAAGTAATTTCTATTATTATTATAGTTAGGATTATAATTATAATTTTATTTAAATTATATTTTTAATTACAATTTTAATAATTATAATAATTATAATTATAATTATAGAAATATTCAAATCAGATCAGATCAGAAAGATTCAGATCACATCAGAAGGATTCAGATCAGATCAGAAACATTCAGATCAGATCAGACCAGATCAGAAACATTCAGATCAGATCAGAAAGATTCAGATCAGATCAGAAAGATTCAGATCAGATCAGATCAGATCAGAAAGATTCAGATCAGATCAGATCAGATCAGAAAAATTCAGATCAGATCAGATCAGAACTTAAAAAATTCAGATCAGAAACATTCAGACAGAGAACAGCTTCTTAGTTTCACAACTAATGATTGTATATCAGCTCGACTCGACTCAACTTAATGTGTACAAACATTGTTTACCTAAATGTCAAGAAAGAACAATTTTTTTTTAATTCAAACGGATTATTATTGTTTTTTTACATAAAACAAACTACCTTATATTAATAAGACCATGGTTCAATGAAGAGCAAATACAAGCACGAGGAAGATGATGCCAAACATAGCAACTAGACATAGAACTAACCAGCATAGCCAGATCACGTGTTGCTTGGTTCACCGATTGCTTCACATGAACAACAAAATTAATGCTATTAAAATTATCAGATAGATCCCTCATATTATCAACTAAAATGCCAACAGTAGAGCCTTCCGATCTTCCAAATGGATTATTGTGAATGATGAACATATAGATCATTGTATAATTAATCTTACATGCTCTGAGACTCTGGGCTCAAAAAGCTGCTTCGCACAACTCCTTACCATTTGTGCCGCTTCCAATTCCCTCTTACCTAGGGGTGCATGCCACGGATATGGTGGACAAATGGGATCAATAATGATTTCTTGAAGCACAACACAATTCTCCAAAATGAACATTACTGCATCAGAATCACTGCTGTGGCCATCATATCCTAAGTACTTGAACACCTTAAGGTGTTGGTGAGGAAATTGTGTAACCTTAGTTACTTCTCTGCCAGTCCATGTATAACACCCAAACCAAATTATCTGCAGCATGAAAATTGAAGACTGAGGCAATCGTTTTTCCCTAACCAAAAGCAAAAGCCAAGTAGAGGAGTGGATATACATAAATAATACATAGTATAATCATTTCTTTTGCATTGTAATATGTGTGTGGCTGTGTGTCTATAATGAAATGCTGTTGCAAGATGCACTAGCAGGCAAACTCCAGCACCTCTAACACAAATTCTTCAAGGATGGGAAATTTCCTGATTAATGAAGTTAATTTAAGAACACTTTCATCACGGGCTTTACGGTTTGCCTGAAAACTTAGGTCCAACCTCTTCAGTTTAGGCATGTCAGGGAAGTTGAGCATCACAATATGATGTGCCTGCAAGTGACAACCAACTTTTTAAACAAAAAAGATTCATTAACATTTTTTTTCATAGATAGCCAGCCATAGATGTCTCACCCGATGCATCTCCAGGAACAAGGAAAGAATCTCCAATTGTGAAACGCAGCAACATAGTGCAGGAACTAACAATGGAATTTCAACTTTCGCACAACGAATATGTAGATCAACAAGCATTGGAACATTCTTAAGCACGAGTCCATTTGTTGTCCCAACTGAAAGTGAAATTAGATTTGGTGCAGACACCTCAAGGGATATGAAATCATAGATGCAGCATAGCTCCAAGTGTTTTAACACAAGGCATGAGCCACAAACTTCAAGTTTTGATAATTTCTCTATGTCGTGGAGAATTAATTGCTCGAGGAATGGACAGTTATGTAAGAAAAACTCAATAGCTTCACCACTCACCTGAACATTCTTGAAAGACAATGATCTGAGGGATTTAAAGTTAAAAAGTGTAGTACACGTTGTAGGAGGATGAGGGCAGTGAAGGACGCATGAATTTTGGAACAAGAATTTATCTGGGAAGACATAGACATTCCCTGGCAATGACATGTGATGGCCAAATTCTAGAAGGTCCAACTCCAACTTTTCAACTTGTCTCTCAAAAGCAAATTTAAGCCACTGCGAAATTGCCTCAGAGGATGATTTTCCTACATCAAAACAGATCCTGAAGTCTTCCAAGGTGAGCCCTCCTTTGTGGAGTAAAGATTTGAGGACTGAGTTCACCCATCTTACATACTTGCTCCTTTCCATGTTGCGTTGCCTTTGATCTTTTCCAATCTTGTCCAATGCACTGTCATCAACAAAGTTGAGGTGGGAGGTGTTTTTCCACATGTTCTTCCAACGAGATGAAAGAACACTAGTGCGCCCAGCGTCCTTCAGCGGAAGGGAAGACAATATAGAAACTAGAATGTCATCAGGCAGCCAACTTATCCAATCATTCATGTCGAATCTCTCAGCAAACTTTCACAACAAGCATATATGAAATTAATAGAATCTGGGACTGGGTTGAAGTTACTCAACTCAAGATATAATACTCTTAGGCCAGACCTCACTGAAAAGATTGAATCAAATGGATTAGCACAATAGAAAATCTTTTGAACTTCTCATTCATAATATAATAACCATTTTAGATGTATACTTGGTGCTAAATCAGTTCGAGCATTAAATTCCATATTGCTCCAGCTTAATGTTGAGTAGGTGTTAGATTAGCTTCAGCTTCGCACTACTGGGATATATTGTCTAGTTGTGAATTATTTGAAAAGTGTTCCTTTAAGGTTCCACATAGAAGAAATTGTTCTAAACAACCATATAGCCTAGCAAATTAATAATTCATTAAAGTCTATAATTGCAGCAGGATTAAAAAAGTTCTTATAGGACAACAAAGCAGCAACTTTTTCTTTTTCTGAGAGCTGACCACCTTCTTTGGTTGAATCTTGGAATCAGGAATGAAATGTTTCTTAGTTTTTCTTAGTTCCTACCACCCATCGGAGAATGAATTTATAGACTGAAGTACAATATGCCCACAAAAAGAAATCCAGTGGGGGAAATTGAATCGATAAATATAAAGAAAATAGGGGAAACATACACTGCCTGTTATTTGAAGCAAAGCGGGCAATAAACCATATGCTTCAATCTCAGGAAAACTGACTGCCTGAAACGCACACCGTTCACATGTAGCAGGACTCACAAATAAACAAAAAAAACATAAATGATAATTAAGCTTCTATAGAATTAATTATTAGACTCGAGTAAAATTACCTAATTTTAGTACAAGAGTGTTGTATCAAGGATTCAAGGTAGATGAGAGTGACAGGAAAAGATAATCTGTCCAAGAAAGAATTGGCTCTGAAACAGGCTCTGGACCAAATCACTAAATCATCTGGGAAGGGGTCCATAACGTGGCTTTGCCGTTCTTTCTGCAACAAGCAGATTCCTGCATGTGGTATCAACATCATCTTTTTTTGGATATTCTTTAGAAAAAAGAATATCGTTATTTGAAGTTAACAAACTTCAACAAGCAGAAAATATTTTTTTAATTTAAAAAAAAAAAATCAAATAAAGTGAAGACAAAATAGTATATAAAAATGCATGGTTTAATCAATTATATAGTTATTTGAAGTTAAAAACTAAAAAAATCAGGTAAATTTTAGAGAATCATTCACAATAAAACGGATTATTGTGAACGCTTTCCTTTTCTGTTTGTATTGACTGGAGATATTGTAGAGAATCATTTTAGTTCTTTTTTCATATAATTTTTTCTTTATTTAAAAAATAAAATATACTGTAAGTGTATTTTTTATAAATCAACATAATAGTCAATCCAATCATTTCAGACAAAATTTCAAAAATTTCATTTAAAACAGCTAATACAGTCGATTTGGATATCATCAAACGGGCTCATAATCTTTGAGTTTTTGCCATTTTCGATCTCTTACCCATTATGTCAAAGATACTTTTAGAACTTAACTTTCGATTTTTCCGTTTTATTAAATTGAAATTTGTAGTTCTTAACTTTGAAGTTTTCCTCATTTAGTCCACTGAGTATCATCAAATTGGTACTTGTAGACTTTCAGTATGATTCTGACACAATAAGTAGATGATTCTGTCACTATTATACTAATTGAAAGACCAAAACTGTAATTAGCTTTTAAAAAAATCAAAGGACTAAATGTGAAAATTCTCAAAGACGGGTACTAGAAAAACTGTTGCACAAAAGTTGAAGGATTAAAAATGAAAACACAAAGTCGAGTACCATAAGTACTATAACTGACATAATAGTCAGATGACTAACAGTGACAAAAACTTGATTATCTACTCGGCGAGTACTCGCGATTAGAGGGTAGCCTGGTCGGTTAGAATGTTAGCTTGCCCCATTCTATTTTCCAGGTTAATTACTCGCCAACTACTCGATTTGGTACAAGAGGATTTTAGTGTGAAGGACGTATAAAAGAGGAGAAATGAGACCATGGATGAAGAATGCAAGTTCTCGTAGAAGTAGCTTAGAATTTAACAAAGCTATATGAAAAAAGAGTGTATCAAAATTTTTCTAACACTTAATATGAAATATTGACAATTATATAACCAAACAAAAGGTAGATGACAAGAATACGACGCTTTGTTTCTTACGGAGTAGAATCTTAGTACTTCAGTAACTAGCATAGCAACTTTAGTGCAATGATTGTTTTCAATTTTACACTATAATGATTATGCATTTATGCATATATTATACGGAGTAGTGATTTATTTAAAGTGATACTTCTGTTCATACTTCAGTAGTGATTTATTCATACTTTTGTTCAATTTTCGTCGCCGACATTTTAGTGTGACGGACGTACGTACTTGAGTACTCCCTCCAGTTCTTAATTAAGTTCCTAGGTTGACTTCACACATATTAAGAAATAAATTTGATTTTACTGTGGAGTGCACTGTTTGGACACTATTTAGATATTGTTTGGCACTGTTTGGCACTGTTTTGAGTAAATCATTTGCCAAATAAGGAAAGGTTTGAAGTAGGAACTTTAATATGGACCATCCCAAAAAGGAAAGTAGAAACATAATTACGGGACGGAGGGAGTAACATTTAAGGAACCAATCTCTAATTATATGGAGTATGATACGTAGTAATAAGGTTTGGGACGATGCTTTTACCCAGGGACGGATCCAGGATTTCGAGTCAAGGGGGCGATTTTTTTTCATTAGTGTAGGGAGTGAAAAAAATTTCGTTGTTAAGCGGGATAAGAAAAAAATCGTTAGTGTAACGGGGCAAATTTTTTTCGCTAGTGTAGGGCTCTGCGGGTAATTTTTATTCAAATAGTTCCATTAGTACATACTAAATACACGATGACATATTAACATTTATACTCCCTCCGGTTTTTAATAAACTTCACACTTTTCTTTTTGGGACGGTCTAAAATAAACTTCACACTTCCTTATTTCCTTTTTTGGCAAAGAAATCTACATCAAAATAGTACCAAACAGTGCCAAACATTGTCTCAACAGTGCCAAACAGTGTCTCAACAGTGCCAAACAGTGCCTCAACAGTGTACTCTACAGTAAAGTCAAATTTCTTTCCTTATTTTGTGTGAAGTCAAAGTGTGAAGATTAAATAAAACCAGAGGGAGTATCTATTATTATATTCCAATTCTAATTTTAGACAATGAAAAGATAACTTCGATTTAATAACTATAAGTGCTCTAGAAAAACGTATTGATACATTAAATCTTAACAAATGACAAATCAAAGGAAAATTATTTGAAAATAAGAAAGGATATATAACATTTTATGATATTATTTGAAAGTAATGAGGTTAATATTAAAGGTACACATCAACCAATGCTTTTTAAATAACTTATGTCTTGTTTAACCACATGAATCTTAACAGAATAAAGAATTGGTTTTTGAATTGAGATTTTTGTCTACCAAGGAGGGTATTTGTGGGTCACGATGAGCTTTCTTAATATCACAATAGTATGTATGAGATTATTATACTTAGAATACTATAATACATAGTAATGTTAATTCATATATATGGTGCATATCATATTTGTATTAATGCTAAAATAAGTTAAAGTATATATTATCTACTCAACAAATTGTTTTTAGAAAGTAAGAGCTAAACGAAGAGTGTAATCTAATGTCAACTGTATATCAAATTCAATATCGTTTGATATCTTACAAAATCGAGTACTAATTATCTAATAAAGAAAATTGAACATTACAAAACTAAGAATTTTTAGGTATCCTAAGTCTTAAACAATGAGTTCTATTGTTTACTTGTTTAAGTTATGTAAATTATTTTAGATTCTACTTCTTTTAAATCACCAATTAACTATTACTCCCTTTGTCCCGCTATGATTGTCCCATTTTACCTTTTCGGTCCGTCCCACTAAGATTGTCTCATACCTTATTTGGTAAAATTTGTGTGGTTCTAAATCATTCTTACTTTATTCTTACTTTATCTATTCAATATCAACCACATAAACCCACTTTTATTAATAACCGTACCACCTTCTTTTGTCCCAAACTTAGGGGGACGGAGGTAGTACATCATGTGAGCCTATATATTATTTTTGAAAACTAAAAGTTAAGGGGGGCGAAAACATATATATCTAATTAAACTATGAAAATCTTATGAAAATATTACATATATAGTAGAAAAAAATGGAAGTCCAAGGGGGGCGGTCGCCCCCCGCGCCCCCTGGATCCGTCCCTGTTTTTACTTGGAATAAAATTTTATGTTCTAATCTAGTCTTGTATTATCTATTTGTTTAGGTACGATTGTTTGATCTGAACTGGTCTGATAGATGTCCGATCTCGATGTATTTCGCAACTTTCAAATTTGATCCGATTTGATCTAATATGTGAAAGTCTTATTTGATTTCGTCTGATCTATTTTGTTTAAGTTCGGTTATATTTGATCTGAAATCATTCAATACAAATGAAAAAAACTTAGTCTACTTTGAGATTTTAAAGTAAACTCAGGTATCCTCTCAAAAGTGTTATTTTTATTTCAAAACGAGCAATAGGTAGAATGTGAACAAATTATTGTGAGGCATTTGCAATTTTAATCTTGAAACTTTCAACTGTTATCATTATTTGTCCTATAACATTAATTACTTGTAAATTTGGTCTTGTAAGTAATAAATATAATATTTGCAGATTTAAGAACTTTTCCACTGGAAAGTACACTTTTTGACAGAAAATCCGACGTCGCCGGACATCTTTTCCAGTATAATATCGCCGAAAAGTGTACTTTTCTGGGGAAAAGTCATTAAATCGCAAATATTAATTACTTATATATAGACCAAATTTGCAAGTGATTAAAGTTATGAGCAAAATGTTTGAAAGTTACGGGACGAAAATTACAATTTTCCCGTTTATAAATAAGGCTAAGTATGTTCTATTTGAACTGAATATGTCCCATTGTGAGAATAAAAAAAAAGGGTTTTTTATAAGAATATTACTAAAATAAAACTTATTAACATAAATATGACTATTCATTACTACAACGTGGTGTTGTAGTAACTTAAGTTCAAAACTTGAAAATGAATTAATATGATTTCATTACTACTCTAGTAACTAATTATATTTCTGTAAATCATCTTTATTTTGGTCATATTTATGTAATTATTTCTTTTTTAATTTAATGTTATCTGCGTGTTCTAGACTTCTAGTAGGTACGCATATATGGCTGGCCTTCTACACAGTACATGCATAAAATACGGAACGGAGCATACCTCAGCACTGCGTAGATAACGTATTTTAATGAATTAGTAGCAGCCAAAGCTGGCGAAAGCCTTGTGTGAAAGGAAAGCGTGAGAAGAATAGGCATGAGGCGACACGTGTCCATCCACCTGTACCATCGTCAAAGCTAGTACGCCTGACACGTATACCACCACGTAGCCTGCATGGCCTTTTCCACCCTTCTTATATACTCATATCCATACCGCACCATTTATTGATCTCAAAAAAGCCAAATACATATCCGCTGTGAATTAAATTAAATCAAAAGTAAGGCCGGCCGGAGATAAGTAAGTTGATCGGAGAGGAATTGAAGGATGGCAAGGGCGGTGGCGAGAAGCGTGGCAGCTCCATTGTTGTTTCTGAACTTGATAATGTACTTGATTGTGTTGGGGTTTTCTAGTTGGTGTCTCAACAGGTTCATCAATGGCCAAACTCATCATCCCAGTAAGAATTAATTACTCCATCTCTCTCTCATCTCTCTATTTATTACACACCCATATATGCATTCTAGATAGAAGCTAGGCTGTATTGAGCTGAGTCATTAGGTTATCAATAAGTTAATACTCAAGCATGCATCCTCATTCATTCATGATCTATAATAATCAATTTTTTCTATGATTCTTACCATTTAAATATTTTTATTTAATAAATTTTAAAATAATATCAAAATTCGTTTATGTCTCTCAATGATCATATTCAAATAATCT